ACCTCGTCGCCCGCGTTCGCTCAGCTCCGAGAGCCCGGTATCGAGGCTGACCTCTGCCTGCAGCTGCGCGAGGCGCTCCTCCTCCGAGAGGGTTGAATTTGAGGGGTTCGGCCGCGTGGAGGCCTCAGCCTCCTCCCATCTCGGCTTCTTCACAAGCCCACCCGCAGGCTGCTGCTGTGGTTGAGGTGGCTTTGAGGCGAAAAATGGCCCCGAAAAGACCTTCCGCACGACGTCCACCACCGCGTAAGCAGGGATGTCTTCCTTCGGGTGAAGCAAATCAGTGCTGTCAGCCATGAAAACCCGAATTTCCTCCGCCGGGGCGGAGAGTTTGGCCGCCACCGCCTCCTGGATCTCGCGGCAGCTCATCACCTGACCCTCCATGTCGATCGTGCCGGCATATTTACTAGATTTAAGACGAAAGGTTATCGAGGGCATCAAAGAGCTCTCGTAAAGAACTATGGAACTGAGAAATGAATGGAAAGCGGTATTTAAGAGTTAGAACACGATGTAATGTTCATTGCAGTTGTTTTTTAGAAAGAGGTTAATTCTTAATTTCATACAAGAACGTGGTCATTGTCTTATTTGCATTTGATAGTATAATATAGGAAAAGTTATGAACGAATGCAAAATGATGAGTTATAAAATGGATCAATCCAAAACAAGCTCATGATAGCTTTCAGTATCTTATGCAAGAATTAGATGTGACAAGCCGAAAAAAATATAAACGGGTATTTTGATATTGAGCGTATAAAAATGTTTCTTTCTCATTAATTTCTTGTCTATAATACATGAAGTAATATTATCGAGATCAAACGCCACATCTCTAACTAATAAGTCCATGCTTCATATATATATAAGGATATCTCCTTTGACAACAACAAAAAACGCCACCAATATGATTTTATAAACTTCAGTGAAGCTTTGCACCATTATGTGGAAGTTCTAAAGTGTAGTAACGAGTGCAACGAGACACTGGCTCATCCACAGTGTCAGCGCTTCGGTAGTAGCAAATAGTTTGAACAAGCTTCTTGCCACCGTTTGCAAAGTCGTACCACACACGCTCTACCCCTCCTTTGGGGAAGTGCATCTCAATGTAGAGTTTGCGACCGCCATCAAGAATGCCCGTGCGCAGGCTGACGTGTCCTCTTGTCTTGCTTTCATAGCTCCACAGCTCCCCGTTTAGACGATAAACATGTTCCTTTTTATATAAAATCGTCAAAATAGTGATACTAATCGTTGAAGAATCCCGGTCCACGTTGATGCGCAACGTAGGCTGCAGCTTGTCAATAAGACTTCGGTGAAGAAAACCAAAACCCTGTTCCATAAGTACGGCAGAAAGGCTCCCGACAGACGACGTGAAAGCCCACCTCCCATCAATTAAAGCCTTAAGCTGCGAGATCTCAGGCCCGGAAGGTAAACAACAGAGTTCCTCGGGAGAAGGCGGCACGGGTCTGTTTTTCCCTGATGCCTTATGCTCGTCGCATGGCACACTCGAAGCTGGAAGTGCCACCATATCCAGCGCTACCGCTCCTTTGGGGATCCACGATGCACACTTTGCCCACATCACCGCACCCAGCTCGTGCAGCATAAACGCACGAATACGCAAAACTTGATAATTGAACGTTGCCTGGCCGTAAAAGCTGAGCCATTTGTAATGACACCACTGCAATGCCTCGCACACGGCGGCGCGGTCGGATGGATGGTGGAAGATGTAGCCATAGGTCCCAAGTACCGCCTGAAGCACGATCTTCTCGCTCCCTGAGAGGTGCAACTCGTGCATAGAAGCGACAATGGAAAGCGACGAGAGCGCATCCAACGCAGGCCCTTCCGAAATCGCTTCCCAGTTCCCAAGTTGCGCGACCTTTGGATTCTTCATCGAGGTGGCCCCAGCACTGTGCAGCGTGGCAAAGAACTCATCCAACCTCTGCTGGCGGCCATGACCGTAGCAACTCATGAAGCCTTCCCCTTCCACCGCCTGCGTGGACCCGTCCATTTGCGTGATAGTCCCCTTCAGCGAAACCACCCCCTCCCAGAAACTGGGCTGCATGAGGAACGTAACGAACTCCTGCTCAGGGAAGATCGCGCTAAGTTGCAGCGATGCGTGCGCGCCGTCATGCGTGGGAGTCCGCACCGTCCACTCGGTCGAATACAAAATACCAGTTTCACTACTTCTATATTGTTTGTTTGGAGTCGCAACGAGACTGACGTCGTCTTCCCACGCATGGCTCTGCCGCTTTGCCCCGCATTGGACCACGGCGTACGCGCGACGGACCTCCCCGGTTGTGGGGTCCGACTCACGGGTCACACAGATGCAGTCCTGATCAACATTAAAGAGACGGATGCTACACTGATCAATCAGGTACTCACTCATCACTTGGCGCCGATGCCGCACCAACGAGCGGCGAAAGAGAGCCTCCTCCGCATTTTCTACCAATACCCCACCAAAACGGTGCTCCATCCAAAGCCAACCGCTTCTGATGTCGAGCTCACGACATATCTCCTTCTTGTCAGAAGCACGCGTCAGTCGACAGGAGCCGCTACGAATGCGCAGATTAGGGAAGCTGTAGGAAAAGAGGTCCGAGGTCCAGTCGCGGCCATGAGAGATAACCCCATGATCCCCATGGAGGACTGGGTTCATAACGGGATGAAATTTGAGATCTACCTCAGCCTCAACCTCTTCTTGAAGGTTGCCCTCACCATGCTCTAAGCTGCGCCCCTCCAAGTGAAGATGATACATGATATTCTCTCTATTCGCTGTATCTGTTTCATTATGGTCAGAAACAACACGTAAAAAGCAGCGCCCAAAGGTTATGTTAAGCTCCGTTTTACTTAAAACAGTGGGACCCGACATGGCCTGATCAGGTAGAATCAAACGATCAGCGTTCAGCTGCTCTGTTATGGCCTGTGTGAGATATGTATCCGCACCGTCGAAGATACCTTCTGACAAAAATGCGAGCAGCAATGTCGATGCGCTGTGATCTAGTTCACTAAACCGATAATAAAGCTGAGTTTGTGTATCTATGATCGAGAATTGAACAGCTGAAAAACGATTTTTTTGCGAGTTGGACTCGATCAAATTAAAACCATCCCCAACGATCGTGGTAAAGAAAGACACGCTAATACCATAGCGTCGAGTTTTGCCAAGTCGCCCATTGATATACCATCGTTCTGTTCGACAGGTATCGTGGGGTTTGTCGTGCCCATTAAAAATATTAAACAAAACTTTGCTAGAAATATGCTCAGCTTCCTTATCCTCGAGGACAGCCGAAGGCCATGCAGAGTTCAGTCGCTTTCGTAACGTCTTCTCGATTTCAGACGGTGCCTCTGCCTTTCCTTTTTGGTTTGGACGTTCATCTTTACCTGTGTGAAAATACATCTCCTACAACTTATGTTTTTAATAAAAAAATACGATGAAAAAATAAAACCTTTGGATCAGGAGTTAACTCTTTCATTAAAAGTTCTTATCTTTTCCTTTTCACCATAGAAAGAGCATTAAACCACAAAAGCACCACGAAAGTCTCCTAAACATCGCATCAGCAATATTTTTCGAAACGAGGTATTTAAATTTTATCATCGATGAAATTCCTTATTCTCTTGAGGGAAGTAATGAGCGTGTACTTAAAACATGAAAGTACAACAAAAGCAATAAAATTGATTGAATACTAACCTAAAGCTATTGCTTCGCAGCGACACGTTGAAACGACTTTACACCTAAATGTATTCCTCCATATTATCAAGATCCGAAAAAAACAGCATACAACCATGAAACACCTTGTGATTTTATAAAGCACATATTGTTTAAACAGCTAAGCATGCGTTTTAGTTTCTCTATTTAAGAGCACCTAGAGGGGAAGGGGAGCCATAAGACGGACTTCTTCCCACTTAAAGCGAATAAAAACTTACAAGGCCTTGCCCTACTTTCTTTACCTAATTATCGATTTTCCTGACGCGCTTAAGCTGAATGAGACCACGGTGAGGGATATGGGCGGACGCGACAAACCACTTAGATATCATCATCTCTGCTATTCCAGGGTTTGGGGTGAGTTCGGGCCGCAAGCTAAAACACTTCATCCCTGTGTCTCCCTTCCATGAAAAGCTCTTGGGATCAACCCTAACTCATACCACTTTCTATTCTCCTTCTGACACCTTAATAAGAGAACCCCTGTTCAGGACATCTTGGGTGGGTGGTTCCAAATGTAAAAAGGCTCAGCTAAGTGCTTACAGTAGATGCAAACGGATGCTTATTTGACGGCTTTATAAAGGTTATCACGTTGCTTGTTAACCATAAAGATCTGCCCTCACCCCGCCAGACGTGAATCCCATACACACACAATCAACTACACAAGGAACGACCCCTCTGCTTAAAATCAACATAATAATCAATCATTAACGATGTTCTTTCATTGATGCAGACCGATAATAGAAAGCAACACATTTTTAGTTATAAAATAAATGTAAAAACAACAAAGAATATATGTTTTTCGGTATCATGTCCACCAAACATAAGGACGCAAACGTACACAAAACACGATGAACGACTTTACCCCTTAAATTCTCGCCTGCCCCTGAACACATACACTCCGTCACCCTTCTGGCTATCTCTCCACATCTTACTCCGCAAACAACACCAAAAGAAATGCGCCGCACATACCTTGCAATACACGTCGAGCATTATGCCCATCTCTCGCTCACAATTACTAACTCAAAGCATTTGCATAGTATAACGACGCCAAAAAGCACCGCGCAAAGTGAGTAGCGATTGCAGCTTATATACACAGTGAAGATGGGAAATTCACACACACAACCTCACTTTGCCTGAACACATACGCAAAAGACACAATGATCAGCCTCAGCTCAACGTGCCAGCCAGTGATCGTTTTCCATATGTTATTCAGGTGTACCGCATGATGGTCTGAGGTATGGCGGACATTGTTACATCACACTGGCACAGAGTATGCCACATCCATACACAACTACACATCGATTACACTTCATTATATGCAAAGTAATAACAATATAGATTAGTGCTATTCTGACTATGGAAAAGGTTTAAAAAGGAGATAGATTAATAAAAACATATTCGCTTGCAGCATAGTAAAAGTACTGAATAGAGAAATGAGCCATTTAAAATAAAAACATGTTACTTATCCTTTCCGTTTATGTGAACTTAATAATTCTCAAGATACATAAATCGGTTATTAATTTCACTAAAGTTTAACAAAGAAATCATTTTATAAAAATATAAAATTTTTAATATAAATTTTTTCGAATTACAATTTCAACAAAACTGTTGCTTATTTTTCCTAATATCTCATAAAAATAAATATATACTTAATGCAATACCGTTTTTATGGTCTTCAATTAAATATCTCGACTAAGATCCAGCCACTGAAGGAAAATATAAAGTAATTTTATCGAGGACGACAAGACTTTGGGAAAAGTCAGGCCTACCCATTTAATCATTGCTTCATACTCCTACGAAATGTCGAAAAAAAAACGAAAAGTTTTGCAGACTAAGATTGTTAAAAAAAGAAAACTAGGTTTGTGATGCCTTACAATTTAGCCCACCGCGACTTCTTGACCGCTCGGTGCCAGTCCTCCAGCTTCGCTTGCCAAATCTCCCTCCCCGTAGACGGGGGCCGGAGCGAAACCGATTTAAGCTCCCTCGCGGCAACTTCCTTAATCTCATCCGTTGACTTCCACGTACCAACCGCCAGCCCCGCGCAGAGTGCCGCGCCGAGAGAGGTCATCTCCTTAAACTTGGGCACCTGCAACTCCGAGTTCAGAACGCCACACTGCAGCTCCATGAGCAGCTGATTCTTCGTCAGTCCACCGTTGACTTTGAGGACGCTCACCTTTATACCACTGTCTATATACATTGCGTGGATGTTGTCATAGACCTGCATGGCGATGGCCTCGAGGGCGGCATACATGATATTACCCTTGTTCGTCTTGTAGGTCATGCCGAGGATCGAGCCACGGGAGTTGGGGTCCCAGTAGGGCGCGAACAGCCCACCGAAGGCCGGTACGAAGACAGCCCCGTCCGTGCCGCCCGCTTATCTTGTCCTGCATACTGATTTTGCCTTACTAGGAAAATAGTTTATTTTATGGAATAAGGGTCATGATTCTGGTGAATCGATTAAGTGTAATAATGTAAAAAATATTAGTTTGTGAAACTAAAAATAGAGAAAAGGGGCATTAAGATGAAAGTGTTGCATTAATTCAGTAGACCCGTATTCATACTGTGATGTATCAGCAACGATGACATATTTTATAGGATGAAATAATTACTATTCAATGAGTGTGTGAACTAAGTACTTTAGAAGCATGTAAAATTATTTGGTAGTGAATTGTTTAGTTGACAAAAGGAACTAGCCTTATTCCTGTCAGCATGTTTTTTTATTCACATCCTATTTTTTTCATACTTACATACTCAAAAATTAGCTAAAGTTACGGTTTAGCAATTTACAGAATATAAAAAACCCGAATTAGTATTCCTTCATTATTAACACAGGTTGTGTCTGACAAATTTTTTAGAATTTTTTATTTACCCTTCCGCTTCACCTTTTCGAGCTTTTTTTATTAGCTAAGAACCCACTCCCTTCCCCTTGAGCGTATGTGTGTATAAAGATAAAAGTCATCCAGCCTAATATTTTCTTTTTTATTCTATTATTTATTTTGGAAGAAAGAAAATATACCAAAAAGAGAATGACGAAAAGGGTCCAGCAAGTCTCAAAAACCACCATCATCGATGTCAGTTGTGAGGTGAGATCTTCCACCAGCGGCAGAATTACCTGCCCTTGAGCCCGTCTTACCGCGTCTATTCCCCCTTCCTGACGCAGCTGCTGAGCCTCCCCATTTTTCTTCAGGATCTCGTGCATGAGATGGGTCGTTATAGTTATTTCCCCCACCATCACCACGGCGACGATTCCCTCCGAACTCACGACTTAACATCGCATCGCCCTCAACCAACTCTGCCTCTTCCCTGAACCAGGAAGGGATATTCTGTTCGTGTTCTCGAAGATACTTGTACATCTCCAAGCAGATCTTGCGATTATTACGATTATAGAAGCACGTTGCAACACCCTTATTTCCTGCGCGTCCTGTACGACCAATACGGTGGACATAGTCGTCCATCTCGCTCGGTAAGTCATATTGAATAACGTGCGAGACATTAGGGATATCCAATCCACGCGAGGCCACATCAGTTGCCACAAGAATAGGCGTTACACCAGACTTGAATTCCGCGAGTGCACGCTCGCGATCTTGTTGGCGGCGGTCACCGTGAATCGTAGAGCTCGGGATATTTTCCACCTTGAGTTCGTGATGAAGATAATCGGCGGCCTTTTTCGTTTCCACAAAAATCAACACCAAATCCGACTTCTTATGTTCATAAATGAGTTCAAACAGACGATTCAGTTTCTCTGTTTCTTGAACCCTTTCAATGACCTGAGTGATATTCTTTGTTGTGGAACCAACACGACCAATCGTGAGGAGGTAGTAATACTTCCGAAGAAATCGGCGCGCCAGGTTAAGAATGCGAGTCGGGAACGTAGCGCTAAACATTAGGGTCTGGCGTTCGTCAACCATGGGCATATCAGTGTATCTGGATGCAACCAGGTATTCGATTTGCTCCTCAAAACCCATTTCCAGCATACGGTCGGCTTCATCAAGAACGAGGAACTTAATGGCCTTGAAGGAGAGCAAATCTCTTTCGAAGATATCTTTTAGCCTTCCTGGGCACGCCACAAGGATATCGTTTTCAAAGCGCGTAGGATACGGGGTACCCCCATAGACGACGTCATAAAAGATGTCCGTCCGAAAGGTTAACTTGCGGACCTCATCGTAGATTTGAAGGGCAAGCTCCCGAGTGGGGGCCATGATCAAGCCGATCGGGTAGCAGACACCGCGATACGCAGGTGAGACCCCCTTTACCAGGATATGCTGCACTATCGGGATCAAAAAGGCAGCTGTCTTGCCAGAACCCGTCTGCGCGCACGCCATGAGATCATTCCCCGCAATCGCCACTGGGATCCCATAGCGCTGCACGGGTGTTGGCTTTTGGTACCCACAGCGCTCAATGTTAGCCATCAACGCGGGTTCCACGTTCAGTTCCGAGAAGTCCTCCACCGCTATGATATCCCGAGGCATGATCGACACCGGGATGTTGTCGTAGTTCTCCAGCGAAATGCCCTTTTGTCGGTGGTGGTGTTCAAACAACTCGAGAATCTCGTTCTCGTCGTGGCAATTCCGACGGAGATGCTCTGCACGCTGCGTGCGCCGCTTGAAACCCGGAGGGAGCACCTCCAGTGCACCGCGCTCTTCCCGCTTGTTGTCACGGGAGGCCTCTGCCGCCTTCCCTGCTTCACGGGGGTCCTGGTGAAAATTGCTGGCACCGGCGGGGATCGAACCCGCGCCGCCCCGCCGTTCGCCGCGACCGCGGAACTCCCCGC